CAGGAGGCAGTGAACGTGGTCACCTCAGGGCTTCTGCTGTGTTGCAATATTTTCAGGGAGGGTTTATTTTAGCACTTGTACTCAAAAGCCTGATTGGGCTTATTATCCGGGGAGGTCTTATTTTCAGGGAAACAGGGTAGCTACCAGAATATAAGATAAAAACATCTTAATCTTACAACAAACACATGGACAGACTCAATCACAGTTTGAATTGGGAAACTTAGCATTTTAGAGCAAGTCAAGCCAAAAAATTATTTCCCCATCTTAAAAAATAAAGCGTAACAATAGTAGATTGATGTAACAATGTTGAAGAACAAAGAGAAGAAAGAAACACTAGTAAAACTAAAAACAGATGCTGATAAAGCAACCAAAATACAATGAAGTTATCGAGGACAAATATTAGAAAACATGAGAAGAAATGAAGTGTTAGAAAATAAATTGAAAGGATTTAACAGATTACATGAGTGAAAAATAAAGACCAGCACTTTCAGTTATTGTGAAACTACAATAGACAAAATAAACAATGTGTGATTTATCCGCACTGAATGAGCAAATCAACGGAGACAGATTTGACCAATAGAATTCCCAAATCTTTAAACAGGCAATCTCGGGTACCTATTTTACCCGTATCTATTCTGTTTTTTAGTCTCCTCGATATATAATATTTTGACTCATCCTGAATTGGCTTGAATTTTTCTGTTTCCACACTATGACAGGCATCTGCAGGGAGAGTGAAAAAGAAATAAAAGATGGGGGGACCTGGCCATGCAATTTGAATCCCCGCCTTTTTTATGGGTGTTATAGATACGGCACATATAAATCAGGTGGGGCTTCAGTTCCATCTTTGTGGTGCCAGTTTGACATTTTTGGATCTCCTATAGGCCCACTGATCGCCAAGAATCAGCAGACACAATGGTTTTCCAGATCAGCAGCAGGACAGGAGGCATCTCTACCAATTCAATTTGGCAGCCTGCAAGTGGATTTGGGCACAGGGTATTCTCAACCTATCTCTCCAGTTCTTGTGGGCATTGAGGTTAAGGCACTGTGGCACCAGGATATCCTTCCACTAGTTCTTCTAAAGTGAGCAATCGGAGAACACAATCTTTTTTTTAAAAAAAGCTGCTAGGTAAACCCAGTTATGACAGGAGTGGGAATAGGGTATAAGCTAGCTGCTGATTCTTGAGCTCTCCTATTGGTTATGAGCAATTTCAAGAAGAATAGCAGTGAGGAAAATCAGTGCATTTTGAACCAGCTTGGATTTGGCATGTGTGTGTGAAATAAGTACCTACATGCTGTAAGAGATCCAAAGACAGAAATCTGACTGGAGATTTTAATTCTAAAAACTAGAATAGGAAATCTTTCGGCTTCCCAGGATATTCTGCTTCTGAGCACTGACTTGAAGTTGGGTTCACTTGTACTTAATTGCACCAGGGCAGCTTTTTAAAAAAAAATCATGCTGGATATATATACATCTAATGATCCAATTGCAAAAGCACCAAATTATCATTTAGGAATTGCATATACTTTCAATATTTAATCCTCATATGACTTTGTTTCCAAATCCTTGGTATATACTTGAGGTAACTTGTGTCTTTTACTATTTTATTACTCCTGGAGGAGCAGCAAAAATGTTGTTGTTGTTACTATAAACATGATCTTGTTGAAAATACCTACTACTATATTCTAAACAGGTTGAAGAATCATAGCTGAACATATATTTCAAAGATGGCAAAGAATTAACCATCATATTGTATTACTATAGTTAAAATGCACATTAAAATACATGGTACCAAGGACTTTCCCAGAAGACAGAAGTAATCCAGGCAGAAGGGGGTGGAGAAATAGAGGAACAACAACATAAAGACTTGAACCTGTCGGGAAGTGCTTTTCTTCTCTGGAGCTTCAGAATAATTTCTAAGGTTTCCTTGTTCTTGATGTTTCTGGAGGAGGAGCAACTGTTATAAACGTGAGAAACTGAAAAGGAGAATTTTATAGGCTCTGTAAAGGAAATAATACTTACCTCTGTCTTAAAGGAAGGGAACAGGTACACTGTTGATAAGAAATTATCTGAATATAGTACCTGGTGCCCAGATTAGATTTATAGTTTTAACTCGTTAAGAGTTTGCTGCAGGTTTTTACTTTGAAGCATAGATATTTATCAGGCTAGGATGAAGAAATAAATGTAGAAAGTTTGAGATAATTATGATTAAGGCAAAATGAAGCAATCAAATATTTAAGCTGAAATTGCAACAACTCTTTCACCAGCTATTGGGAAGCGGTTGATGGTTTCATCCTGTGTTGTTTTTTTTTTACTTCTTTTGAAAGATATACCCAATCACTTGGTCAATGGATGACTTTAGAAAATGAATAAAGGAAAATATTTTAAAATTGTTTCCTGGGACAGTTCTATACCTACAGTAAATATAAAGTTCTTGGCATCTTAAACAATGAAAGTAAGAATTTAAATACTCTTAATTCAAATGAGTATTACTATAAATAAATAAAAATATTCTTTACCCTTTTTCTAATTTAGATGAATCATTGCTCTGGCTAAACATTCCTAGATCGTGATGTCCTGAAACGAAATTGGTAAGAAAGAATATCAGGAAAATCTGTTTGTTCTCCTTGGCTAATTGATAACTTGGAATGTGTGACAAAACGCACAGATTAAAGAAATACTGAAGAGTCCTTATGACCCACTGAATGAAGCAATTCTCAGTAACCACTATGTTCTTCAAAGAGCTCAGTAATTTATACATTATTCTGTAGTGAGTAATGCTCTCTGGGGTTAAGAATTAAGGCTTCCTTCAAGCAACAATAGCTTTCCCTAAACATTTCTAAAAGAAAGTTTCCTTTTGTACTATTTCTAAAATGTGTTAACTACCTCTTACTTCCCACTCTCTCCTTTCTGTTTAAAAGCTGATAATGTAAGGCAGTCATGACAGGTTACTGTTACGGGTACCACCAAGATGCTATTTGCACACTCCTGCCTGTCCCCTGACCCTGTCCATAAATCCGTGGAATTATCTACTCTGGCGATATTCCCTTGAGATATACTCCTCTCTGACTCAGAAGGGATTTGTGTGTTCAATTTAGTACTGGAGACAGATTTTAGATTTATAATAAAACAGAGTAATTGCCTTTCAGGTTTTTATCCTAACCGTCTGGGGTACATCAAAATCTCCTTTCCACATAGCAAACACTAGACTAATAAATCTACATGTGACTTTCTGCATTCTATTCAATCCGTTATAAATCACAGATCAAGGGGTTACCCCGTCAAGTTACCTTAATGTCCAGAGAACTCAGCATTTTGTAAACCATTTGGTGACATTTCAGTTTGCCCTAATACAAAGTTGATTTCTCTGACATATAGTTTTCATAATTTTATGCTCTATGTCAGTGTTTTTCAACCTTTTTTGTGCAAAGGCACACTTTTTTCATGAAAAAAATCACGAGGCACACCACCATTAGAAAACATTAAAAAATTTTAACTCTGTGCCTATATTGACTATATATAAAGTNGATTCTAGAATAAGATAAATGTCTGTTTGAATAAAAAGTATATTGTTTTTTAGTAGGATTTCTCTCTCTCCAAACATCCTTTAAACCTGTCTCATCGAAGGATTTAGGGAGTATCTTTTTGACTTTGTTGTTTTTTGTGAGTTATAGTCCATATTCTTATCTACAATTCCATTAAAATCTCCCATCATACAAATATTTAAGTAGTCCAAATCCATTATTTTTTGTGTAATTTTCTGTAGAATTCATCTTGCTTATCATTAGGCGCGTAGATTGCTATTAGGAGCATTAGTTAAAAATGGACAAAGGGTCCATATGATTGGCTTGCTGAATGATTCCAACCTCTGCTCTCCCTGTTGTGAACATGAGGCAACCATATGGGTTGTAAAATGGAGCATAGGGTGCCTCAGAGGCAGAGGTGGTCCTGGGAGGCCTAGCACAGGCACAGGCCCACACTGCAGTGCTTCCCCAGCTCACAAAAGGCCTTTATTCTTATGTTTTTTTGTGGTTCGTATTAGTTTTATTTTTATAATTGCAGTTTTCAATTAAAAAATACTATAAAAAATTTCTCCTAGTGTTCCAGTCATTTAATCACCTCTAACCTTTCTACTATAATTAAGTCCTTGTACATCTTCCCTGCTCATGATGACATATCTCTCTTTTTGTTTGCAACTCACAAATGTTGTTATCTAGTCAGAGGAAGATTCCCAGGGATGGCTGATTATGTAATTTCATTGTGAACTGGATATACAGAAAAAAACTGCCACAGAAAAAAACAAGGCACTCCTCAATTGAAGATTGAGGTTACTTTCACAATGGCCGATTAAATCATTTTTAAAAAATGATTCTTACATCTGCTCGTATTTAACCACATACAACTTCATCATGCTATCTACTTTTGGAGTAAGCGTGCAAACCGCATTATGCAAAGTGCAGAAAAAAATCATTTTGGAATTATTAAGAATTGTTAAGTCATTGAAGATTGAACAAACAATAAGATACAATAGTCCAAAGCAATTAAAGGCCTGAGATAATAACCAGAAAATACATATCTAAATTGAGTCACTAATGCCTTCTTATTCCATTCTATCCTCGAAAATTACCCAGGTTTTAAGTTCTATCACCAAGCCAGCACATGTTATCTCCTCATTTTTATCTCAGAGGAAATATTGTCACAAGTGAGCCTTCAAACAAATTAATGAACAAATTTATTAGCATCACTGGAGGGAATGCTGACTGATCGCTTCAAAATGTCAGATAACATGGGATTGTAGCAGCTGAAAGTCCTGCTCTATAGGATTTGTATGGAATTATATGCCAATTTCTCAAGAAAAGTTAAACAATCACAGAATAAAGTAAGAAATGATGGTAAAATTGACTAAAAGCAGAAGCAAACTTCAATGACATCTGATTCCCCAATTTCTTCTCATGTCCCCTTTCCATTTCCCAAGGATAAAAAGAACATGAAGACAAATAATTGAGGTTGAATTATATTTTTAATAATAAGGAAAAAACCTGTAATATAGTTTCAAACCATATTTAATTGAAAAAAAATGTACATACAGAGCTTCCATTTCAGTGTTATACTGTAAATATAGGGATTAATTTTGTGCATTAAAACATTAGTTGAGGTCTGATCAGTAGTATTTTATGGAATTGTCCTGCAGCCAGGTTAGACTTGGGAGTTGTCACATTGATATTAGAGACAGATTATGGATATTCTCAGTCATCCAGGTCATGGTTGCTAGAGACAGATGGTTCTGTTTCCCTAGACCTTTCCTTTTTTGAATAGGGTGATTTGTCTGAGTGTGAAGCTTCCAGGAATTCTCTAGCATTTTTTGATTTGTATTGGTCTTCTTTCTGACTGACTGACCTAAATTAGTACAATGCATCAACAAATGCCAACTACCGTGTTTCCCCGGAAATAAAACAGGGTTTTATTTTCTTTTAATCCCCGAAATAGGCACTTGGCCTTATTTTCGGGGAGGTCTTATTATTTTTGAGGTGCAGGAGGCAGTGAACGTGGTCACCTCAGGGCTTCTGCTGTGTTGCAATATTTTCAGGGAGGGTTTATTTTAGCACTTGTACTCAAAAGCCTGATTGGGCTTATTATCCGGGGAGGTCTTATTATTTTTGAGGTGCAGGAGGCAGTGAACGTGGTCACCTCAGGGCTT